GAAGGTGGGAAGCGGAGGTCAATGGTGATAGTTCCTATCTCTCTCCTTCCCGGATCATTGCAATAGGGGGTAAATGGAGACCGCCTTAGCTGCGTCCACAGGGAAACCCTTAATTATATTCGATAACTGGAGTGGGGATGAATGGTTGTGGCGCATGGGCTACGGGGCTGCTGCATGTATGCACATATCTATACTTGGTTGCGCCCACAAAGAGAAACATATAAAGTGGCTTAGGGATCCGACTTAGAATTATGCTCAGGCATTGGTCATGTTAGACACATGATAGTGGGAATTCGAACTCACTGTAAACTCTTTACTCCTATTGATTCCAACAATGGTTACTCAAGTCTCACCCTACATTATTTTACTTTTGCAGTTTAATTTGTCTTTCGCACCTACCTCTCAATAGTTTAAACTTCCATTTAACTTTGCTTTGGATCGTAACTAATTTGCAGGCACTATAATCTAAATCTTTAAAAGAGACAAAGACTAATTCATGTTCTTCATGTGGGATTGATAATCTTACTTCGGAAAGGATACAACTAAATCTTGAGCACTTGCAAGCCATCAATCACCAAATCTCTCCATAAATGTTTGAACTAGACAACCCGGACATTGTTTTGCCATCCAACACCGGTAACGAAAAATGTCCGCACCAGCTCAGATGTCCACCCAAAATCTCTTAATCAGTTTGGACGTATGACATCACACAAACTGGAAACGAATGTATGGGAGGTTGGCGGGTGTCCGGCTCTGCCACATACGCCTCGGATAAGCGTGCCGAAGTACGCCTCTGACAAACATATGCAATAAAGGTAGTGGTTTAGGCTTCTAGGTGGCACTTGCGAACGACATCACTATCGTCTGCCTCAATGGTGCGCTCCATCGAATGCACTTCACCAAAGCCCGCAAATCGCGATATTGTCGGTGTTACCATACTGGGTAAGGAAGTCAAGGAGAGATATTTTAAACCAAATGGTCGGGGCCGGAGGGATGAAGAGGACGGTGGTTGACATGAGTAGTGCAAAAGGCAACACATTTTAATTTAGGAATTCCACCGATCAATCGCGTGAAGGTGCAAAACAAAGTGTTACACTTTACAAATTCAGAATTAGAAACTAGAACACTCACAACATGTCTGTCGCGTTTGCGTCACACCCCCACATAGTTGGTCCGAACCATAGGAAGATGGAACCCCAGAATTCGGGGAGTGGTCTCTTGTGGAAGCCGAAGTGTTGCGAAAAAGTCATGGGCGAGTTGCTTCCAAGAACCACAACATGACAAGAAGTCCATAACAACATTAACAAGAACTCGGGTAGAGGTTGTTCTTGTGCATATGCAGCGGATGCAATGTAAGCGTATCACCCGCACAAGCAGCATTTTTGACCCATGATGAAAAATATGGCGAGGCACATTATTTTGTCTTATTCAAAAATCTTGCTCCAAATGCGAGGACCAGAAATTTAGTGCAGTCGCTGCATGGAAGCATAAACCGACATCTCTTAAGGGCAATAAAAAAGTGAAGTATTGGAAGCAAGAAAGGAAAGGATAAACCACCAATCAATGAGGGTTGAGCACCCCTAACTCCCTTTAGAGGACCACCATGGGTTGTGGTCGAAAGGGAATGTGAAGGGGATGGTCCTGGAGATGAAGATCTACACCAGATTAGTTACTGATGGAGCACCACTTCCCTCTCATTGCCAATGACGACCAGGGCGTCGATGAAGAAAACGACAAAAGTAACTTGAGAAACAATATGACGTCAAAATGTTTGGGTTTTTAGGGTTTAGGCTCCCGGAAAACAACATGGCCCAAAATGCCTCCAGGACATTTGTAATATTTCTAGTAGGTCAATGCATAGAGATATGGGATAGAATTCCTATCTTGTCGACGACCCTGATAACGAAAAATGCTAGAAGAGCGAGGAGGGGAGAGGTTAAAGGAGAAATTGTGATTTCTGAACATACCCCGACTGAGAGCTCAGATAACAAGACAATGACAATATGTATAGATAGGCTGTACCATAATCCCTCATGCCTTAAGGTTTCAATTCAAAGAAAAAATGCGACATAGTTAGTGAGAAAATTTCTCATGAAATATTAACTTCTCATTTTCCTGTCCTGAGCTACTCCCTCCGTCTCATAGTAATGTAAGAGCGTTTTTGACACTAATATTATGGGACCGAGGGAGTACTACTTTTCACCATTAATTTTTTTCTTTCATATCTTAATACTCCCTTCGTTTTTATTTACTCCGCATATTAGAGTTAACTGAATTCAAACTTTGTAAAGTTTGACCAAATTTATAGAAATGAATATAAATATTTAGTATAACAAATCTATATGACGTGGAAGTACATTCAACAACGAATCTAATGGTATTGATTTGTTATTGTATATATGTTAATATTTTTGTCTATAAACTTTGTAAAACTTTGTAAAGCTTGACTTTGATCAAAACTAATATGAGGAGTAAATAAAAACGGAGGGAGTACTACTATTTTTTAATTTAAAATAATCCTGTTATGAGTAGCCTGATTGAGGCCAACTCCACCGCGCGATCCCAAACGGACGTCCGGATTGGGCCGAATCTGTCCCTTTGGGGTGCCGATGGGTACGCCCGTGTCCGGCTGTGTCCATTGGGTCGTGCATGCGCCCATGCGCGGCCGCACCCCAAATCGTGTCCGGGGTGGACGAGATTAAAAATAATAATTAAATAACTAAAAAAGCAAATAAACACATTTAAAAAAACATAAAACATATATATGGGTTGGCCACAAAACGGCCTAGTTTCAACGGCCACTTAAAAGGCCCAGATTCATAATTAACATAATAAGACAATAAAAAAACTCCTCCCGCACGCTCCTGCCGCGCCCGTCGGTGCCGTGGCCGTCGCCGTCTTCACTGGTCGCCGGTGTCGTCGTCGTCGCTGACGAGGTCGACGTACTCCGGCGGCGTCTAGAGGTGGGCCGGCGGTGCGTGGTGGACGGGGGCGGGCTGGACGGCCGGAGATGCCTGCACCACCTTCTCCCGCGGCGACGTCTCCCGCTCCGGAGTGGGGCACCAGTTCACGCCCAGGTCGGCGGCCATCTCCGGCGCAGTGCACGACCAGCCCCACTCCTGGCCCAGGAGCTTCTCGAACGGGGCGAGTCCTCCTCCATCGGCTCCTCCTTGGCGGCCGCCGTGACGGCCGCCAGCTGCAGCTCTGGGAAGGCGACGTCCCCTGCGGCAGAGAGGGCCATGGCCTCCTCCAGGCCGTCCCACTGCCGCTCGTCGTGCGTGTTCATGGAGTCGTCCATGACACGCTGCAGGAGACGGGCCTCCTCCTCCGCTGTCATGCGAGGAGGGGGAGGGGGCGACGGAGACGGGGAAGGCGACGGCGTGGGCGTCAGGCCATGCACCCGCGTACGCCCGCGCGGCTCTGCACGTGGCCTCCGCGGCCCCGACACGGTGCCGGCGAAGTAGGACGCGCGCCACACGTTGTGCTCGTCCTGGAGCCATGTGTCCCAAAGCGGCGAGTCGGGGGCATACCTGTGGTCGTAGTACAGGTCGTCGGGGAGGAGGCGGCGGCGGCGGTTGACCTCATCGCGCCGTGCACGGCCAGTCACCGGCACTGGCGGGATGGGGACCCGGTCCGCGGAGAGGTGACACCCGTTGGGGAGGTGGACATCGCTCCACGGGACCGGCGTCCTCGTCTCCCAGTACCTCTGGCACACGTCCGCGCAGATGTACTGCCGGTCGCGCTCGCCGGAGGGCCTAGGGGCAATGGTGAAGGGGGCCGGCGCGGGGGCTCGACGGGAGGAGTGCAGCGGTGGCGCGGGGGCCCGACGGGAGGAGCGCGGCGGAGACGCGGGCTCCTCCTTCTTCACGGAGCCGCGGCGGCGCCCCGAGGAGGAGCCGGCCTCGCGTCGTGCTTGCCCTTACCGTTCCAGAAGCCCATGGCGAGGTGGGCGGCCGGCGAGCTCGAGGAGGAGTCGGGCTAGGGTTTCTGGGCTGTCGGGGTTCGAGGAGGCCGCTGGGTGGCGTGGGGCACTATGGACGACGACCCGTCCACGCTTCCCACTTAAAGAAGGACGGCGACCGCTCGACGTGCGGATGACAGGTGGGGCCGCCCGCTCGTGCGCATTGATGTGGGTGGGTGGGAGGTGGGTGGCCGCCTGCCACACGGCCTCGACGCGGACGAGCGCGCGTCCGTTTGGTGTCCGTCGCGACCCAAACCTGGCGCAAGTTTGCGCTCGAAATGGATCGGCCCGGACACAAAACTGACAAGATGGGTCCGGGCCGTCGCGCGCTGAGCCGCCTTCTTTGTCCCTTTTACCCCAAACGGACGGGACCGGAAAGGATAAGGTCGCGCGGTGGAGTTGGCCTGAGTGCCGCCATGTGTCATGGTCACAGCCCTTGCCTAGCAAAAGTAGCAGTCTCGGTCCATCATACGCCAATAGAAAGCCGTTTTCCACGAGTAGGCTACTCCTGCCCGCACGCGCCTACACAAGCAGGCCGCACCCGATTTGCTCGCGCACGAGGAATCATACGGACACGACACCCAACGGGGTGCGGTCCGCCTCGATCCAATCCTCGCTTGCCCCCCCGGCCCCACGCCCTGCTCGTCCCTCCCCTCCCTACGCCCGGCCCACACACCAACACCCAAACGGACGCCGCGCCCTGCGTCGGCTCACCCACCAGACCATACGCCCGGTCCACCCGCCCTCCACGCCAGTCACCTCCCTCTCCGATCGGAGGCGGAGCGTGGCCGCGGCGCCGATCCCCCGTGGAAGCCTCCGCGTGTCGCGCCCCATAAATATCCGACCTCGCCGGCGCCCGCGACCTCCGAGAACTCCCCTTCTCCGCCGCGCCCGCCGTGCCCAAACCCTAACCAGCCACCCGCCTAGCGCCAGTGCCCCCCTGCCGCTACTAGTCCCACAACTACCCTGTTGCCGCGGCAGCGTCGGCTGCTCCCGCTGCTGCTGCTGCTAACTGGCGCCGAAACCCTAGCCCCGCCCGATGTCGCAGCAGGATCCGGCTGCGGCCGGGGAGGAGCTGCCGGGGGGCCTCTCGCGGAGCAGCTCCGCCAGCCGGCTCAACGCGCAGGCGCCGGAGTTCGTGCCGCGTGTCGCGGCGCCGCCGCCCCCGCCGGTGCAGCCCGTGATCCACGTCTTCGCCGCGCCGCCCCCGCCGCCGCCCGCGTCCTTCTTCGCCGCGGGCCCGCCCCCGCCCCCGCCCCGGCCGCCGTTCGAGTTTTACGCGGCGGTCGGTGCTGCTGGCCCGGGCTTCGTTGCCGTGCCCGAGCATGAGATGGGGCCCGAGCAAGCGGTGCCGCCGCCGCCACCGCCGGCCCAGGCACACCAGCAGGGGAGAGAGCTGACCACAGACGACGTGCTGCACAAGATCACCAAGCAGGTTGGTGCTCCTCTTGTTCCTTGTTGTGTTGCTCGATCTCGAATAGGTGTAATTAGATCAGGAGCAGTGATTGTTATAGGGGCTGTAACATATAATTACACGTGAAGTTTCATAGAGCCAATCATGTCAATTAAATAGGTCTATATTGTGAGTACGTCTTTATTTGAAACTGTAATTCAGTCCAACTCTTCTGTACATCGTTATCTTCTGCACTCCCTCCGTTCCTAAATATAAGTCTTTGTAGAGATTCCACTATGAACCACATACGGATGTATATAGATGCATTTTAGAGTGTAGATTCATTCATTTTGCTCTGTATGTAATCCATAGTGGAATCTCTACAAAAACTTATATTTAGGAACGGTGGGAGTACATCGTTATATTTTACTGAGAATGTTGTTGTTTTTCATTTATTATATTACAAGAATAGCTTTTTCCTCTACTTCTTCATTTCATAAATTTATAAACCTTGCAGGTGGAGTATTACTTCAGTGATATAAACCTGGCCACTACAGAACATTTGATGAGGTTTATTTCTAAGGATCCTGAAGGATATGGTGAGTTGTATGCTTGCATCTCAAGCTATTTCGTTGAGACATGTAATGCAAATTCATTAAACTGATTAAGTTGATTGTATGATTGTTTCTGGAAGGTGTCATCATTCATTCACTTTTTATTTTTATTTTTGTAGCTTTCTATTGCATGAATAGAAAAAAAAATCATGTTTATGATCTTGCTACTTTAAAGCTTTCAGCTGACAGTGAGACTCAAAAGAGGCTTCCAGAAATGAATAACTGGATATATTATGCATGTTACTGTTTCGTTACTTTCCTAGAAGATACTTCTTTCTTTGAAATGAAGATAGCATCGTACTTAACATAATATAGATCGTGCTTTTCTTTTTGCAGTATATTATGTTACTTTGGATAGAATTTCTCTTGGACTGTCTTTGACCTAATTAGGAATTAGGATTGCATCGATCCATTCTATTCTAAAATTGGTTCAAAGGATTGGACTATGATTTGTCCAATACCAATTGACAAATCAAGATAAATAATTTTTAATCTTATCATGTATTATTATCTTCTACTACCTCAGTTATTAACAGGACAATGGTTGCCATACTGATCAGAAAATAGTTACTCCCTCCGATCCATATTACTTGTCGCTATAAAGTTGTGCTAAAGCAGCGACACGTAATATGGATCGAATGGAGTACCTATATTTGACCGAGTTCTCTCATATGAAAATCTTTCAACTGTGAGTGTGTGACTTCCATATGCTAGTTTTGTTTACTTTATTTTGATAAAGAACGGGAAATCAAGTTCTGTCTATTATAGAGAAAAATTACCACCTTTGATACTTGGACAAACAAATATAAATTGGTATCTGATTTACATTCTTCCTCAATGCAGTACCGATGTCAGTTGTTGCTTCCTTTAAGAAAATTAAGGCTCTGGTGCAAAGTAGTTCCATGCTTGCTTCAGCTCTTCGAACTTCATCAAAGCTTGTAAGTTCAATGATAATCCTGTTGTATAATGTGGCCAGATCTCAGAACGGACTTTTATTATTTTTGAAATTATTTCATTCGTCAACAGGGTACTTCATAAGTCATAAGAATATGACCAACCGCAGCACATCTACTACTGCTAGCTTGTCATTCCCCTGCATGTTACTTATGACTGCAGTTACATTTATGATTGTTTGGTTATACATGCAGGTGGTTAGTGAAGATGGAAACAGAGTAAAGCGTGTACAGCCATTTACAGAAGCAGATTTAGAGGAACTACAGGTAATTATGAGGTCTTTATACATTACATGCAACAACCATATGCTTTAGTTTCCTTTTATGGATAAAATAGCTGGACTGTAACAAGGAAGACTTGCTGTGTCTTGTAGGCCCGAATTGTTGTTGCAGAAAATCTTCCAGATGATCATTGTTACCAGAACCTTATGAAGATTTTCTCATCTGTTGGCAGGTAATAATTATTGTAGATCAGAAAAAAGTGCAGCTATTCTCTTCCTGTCTTGAGAAAACTGATACATGTTTCTCTGCTGATTCTTGTTTCCATGTTGCAGTGTAAAGACAATCAGAACATGCTATCCTCAGACCCCAAATGGCAGTGGTCCAGTTACTAATAGATCTGCTAAACTAGATATGCTTTTTGCCAACAAGGTAATTATTATTCCTGTTTATAACACTCAAATACCATATTCTTAATGGCAGTTGTTTTGTGATGGTTGCATGGGTAACTATTTTTGGTCAATTGAATCTTCCCTGAACCCTGTATCCTTGGACAACCTGAATGGACTAACTTCAGTACAACATATGTTCATTTGATGTGAAGTAGGGGTGGATATGTGTGGATGCATTATTTACATGGTATTATTAGACTAGATAATTGCCCGCGAGTTGCAACAGGGGCACAATTATTCTAGTGGGTTAGCCTGTGAGTTATGTACCATATCAGTGCGATTGTGTAAAAATAGAAGATTTTATTTGGAAACTCTTATTTGGCAAGCATCTATTGGCTTAACAAAGAAAACAGAATTTTATTTGGTAAGCCAATAATAGGTGGGGCTGTTGATGTGGTTTTTAGGGAAAACCAGTGGAAAAAATCAGGGATGAGAAAAAAATAAAAACGGAGGGGGGGGGGGCAGGGTTGCTGACTAGGCCTGTTAAGTGGCCTCTCTCCATACAATAAAATAATCCAATTAAAATTGAGATTTTAAGATCAACTGGAGTACTTTAGAAGAGGCCACCACGTCCCCATAAAAGGTTTTAATGCCATGTGCCATTTTCTCATTACCAATGATACAATAAGATAGAAGAGTTAGGGCCAGTTCTTTTGCTGGCTTCTAGAATAAGCTGGAATAAGCTCCCCCCTACCCAGCTTATTCTAGAAGCCCAACCATTTTTATGAGGCCTACTAATTAAGACTTGACTAGTAGGCTTCTAAAAGAATATTTTTGGTTGGGCTTCTAAAATAAGCTGGCTAGGGGGCAGCTTATTCTAGAAGCTCAAACAAGCCACAAAAAGAACTGGCCCTTAATACATGTACATTGCCTCCCCCACCAGATGGTCGCACACATCCTCTCTCTGTTATGCAGTATGGCTTCAGATGCCTAAACAGATTGACCAAAAAATTTATGATATGCAGCTTGGTTTAAATGAATGATTGCATTTCTGCAGCTAAACTGTTATTATAATAGTGTTTGTTTTCACCATTGCCTTGATGTGTGTTAGTGCACCTTTTGCTGATTGATGCATGTCAAGCTAATAGTTTTGCCTTGATGGCAGCTGCATGCTTTTGTTGAGTATGAGACTATTGAGGATGCTGAAAAAGCGGTATTTATCTTCACATAACCTCTTTAATAGCATAATTACTTGCTTGCCCGTATTACCAATGACATCACTTCATCCAATACAGATTGTGGTGCTTAATGATGAGAGGAACTGGAGAAGCGGGCTTAGAGTTCGGTTGTTGAATTCTTGCATGGTAATCATCCATTGGGTTTAATCAGTTGGACATGAGATAGTTTTGGTGCTTAACTGCTTAAGCAAAACCCCATGATGATAAGTACTTGCCATAACATCTCAAGTCATCGGGTTGCGATGAGGCTACAAGAATGAAGCATTTGTACAACTTTATTTCTTATACTCGTAATTCTGTCATTTTGCAAAATGTGACTTCGTTTACATTTGGAATGATGCATTAATAATGCATATTTTCTCCTTAGTTCTTGTAGCTCACCTTACGTATGTTCATTTAGTAGGATCCAAGGTCAAAGTGTGTTTAAAAATACTCGTTTCTTCATTTAGGAGCCAAAAAATATATATTAATTGATTGGCAATTACAATCATAATTCATACCGAATGCAAGGGTTACAAAGTTCAGAGCATTGGACAGCCAGACACTGTCTGGTTGTGAACAACGCAACAAATTTGGCAAGGGCTGAACTTCCACATCCTCCCCGCCCCCTGGCTTACAAAAACAATGTCAAAATAACTACCCACTACCGCGCCAAGCTGTTGGATTTGTTTGAGAATCGGCAAAATGCTTGCCTTATGATTCTCACTTGTTCTCCTCAGCAACTCCAAAGCCTAGCAATCTGTCTCAATAGCGACAAGCTTATAATTCATGTTGCGTCACCTGGACTCCATAATGGCAGGCATAAGCTTCTGCAGTAAGCATGTTTGGCATATACTACCTCCGTCCGGGTTTATTGGTTCCCTTCGTATTTTGTGCCTAATTTTGACTATAGATTTGACTAACAAAATATACGTTGTATGTCACAAAACTTATATTGTGGATTCATATTCGAAAGAGGTTTCCGATGATACTATTTTTGTGGTACATAACATTTTTTTGTTAGTGAATCAAAGGTCAAAGTTTAACCCAAAATACAAGGAGGACTAATAAACCCGGACGGAGGTAGTAATCATATATAGTTGACTCATGGAGATGGTTTCAACTGTTCACGTGATGGAATTTTCGGTCATGCTTATTGTTACACCCCTCCACCCAGTTTCGGTGACTTTCTACACTACACAAAATTCTTTATTCGAGCATCTTTTGTTTGAGACATGTCCTTATAGACTGATTTACTCATGCCCTAGTTCGCTCAAAAATAACATCTTGTTCGATTGGATGTTAATCGGCAGTAATTGAATATGTAAAGTATATGGGAATACCACTTGCCCCCCTATAAGAACTATGCATTCCAGATTTTTGCTCTGAGAAAAGAATGTTGCAATTCCCTTGGAAGGAAATACTGTAGTGGCTCAACACTATCCATTTTGAATCCTCCGGGCATATCAATATGAAGTCTGCCATAATGAAAGTACCATTAGTTGCATTTACTTCACTTCATAATGGCATCCAGCACCACTTGACATAATCAATTATGTCAAGGAACGAAATTGGAAGTATAGTAGGTGATGTTCATGCATGGTTTGTGTTTCAAACCAGCTGGCACTAAATTGTGGCTGTATTCAAGCCAAACTGCACCATCATATGGTTTTCTACTGTTAAAAAACCCGCATTTGAGTCTCCTCTGAGGTTATGGATGTGAAATCGAGGATGTGTTAGGAGGCTTTAACCGTCACGCAAGAATTAATACTAGCATTGCCAATCTTTTTTTGGCTTGGCATGCCTTTTGAAGATTGTCGTTACTTGAAGTTGCAACTATGTTTTTGGAAAGTCCTTTCTCAGCCTGAGCTCAAATGAGCTCGGGTGAACAGTAAAATCAAAAAATATTTAAAAAATGCTAAAAAATTCTGAATTTTTTTTGTGGTAAACATTGACAAATATTCTAACTGCTTGCAAAATTTCATCTTCATATCACATTCGTACAAGGCGTGGCAAAAAAAACAAAATCAGTGCTCCGAAATGCTTTGAAAGTAGCATTTTCAGAGCATTGATTTTGTTTTTTTGTCACGCCTTCCACAAATGTGATCTGAAGATGAAATTTTGCAAGCAGTTAGAACATTTGTCAAAGCTTGTCACAAAAAAAAATCAGAATTTTTTGAACATTTTTATGTTTTATACTTTTACTTGGTATAATTTGTGTCCATATGAGTTACCACCACAAAATTTCTCCATCTTTGTTGGATGCACCTCCAAGGAAATTACGACTAATATACTCTAGAAGATTGATGTGTTCTAACATGTGTAAGTTTAGCTTGTTAATAACTTAATATGAAAATAAAAAGCATTTGCCTTTTAGAAACTGTAACTTACAAAGATGGATATTTGACATGCATTGGGATCAAAAATCATGAACCTTGTTCTAAAAAAAAATCATGAACCTTTTGCTGTTAGCAAGGCCTCTTTTAACATAAGTAGTCCGCCTCCCTGTTTAATCAAACCTTCACCCTACAGTATGTTCAAACTTCAAACAGTGACCCGTCTATTTCACTTCTGACCTATTAGGAAGAATCATAAATTTGATATATCATTTGAAGATTACATCAATAGCAGCTTAAAATATGATACAATGCTTTTAAAATTTGTTTGTGTATTCTAGAAGTAGCTTAATATCATAGTTAAAAGCAAAAACTGGCAAAAACAAAGTTTTCCCTAGTTAAAAACGGGGTGCCCCCCTTAAGTGCCCCTAGGCTCTAGGCGATGGCAAAACGCTCAGCGCTTAATTGCGCTTTGGTCAGAAAAGCGCAAGGCAGTGGTAAAGTGCACAATTAAGGCATAGTGCTTTTCTTTTAACTTTGCTCAATATATGCCAACAATCCTTTGTTTTGTTTGTTTGCATGTTGCATAAAAAAACTGTTTCCTAAAACATTATAATGTGTTTTGTGTTATAGGCTAAGGGAGGCAAAGGTAAGAAGGGTGGGCATGAAACTGATGTACATGGTGAGGAGGATGTTTCCACTTCTGATCAACCAAATGATAAACATTCAGAAGAAACATCTCAACCATCAGATGCAATAGGAGAGCATGTTGTAAGTATTCCTTCTGCCGTTTCGGAACATACAGTTTTTTTTTTCAGTCTTGTTTAGTAAAGGTGAGCATGAGATTTAATGATATTTTATCTTGATTCGCCTCATTATCTTCTGTCTCTATTCAGCATATTATTGGGTAAGCACCACACTTAACTGTTCTTTCTCCTTCACAAGACATTAAGACCATTGATAATATGTTCCCTCGTTTCTACCATTCTCTGAGAACTGAGCAGTAGCTCAGTGGCTTGAGCCCACGGTGGTGGTCTCCCCCACCTGCGTTTGAGTCCGCCTCAGAGCGTATTCCGCTGGGGTGTTTTCTGCAGAGAGGTCTCATCTCTATCTAGCTAATGGACAGTTAAAGGAGGGATTTCCCACCTTGATTCAAACTTTTTCTTTCCTACCATTCTCTTACTTTATAAGCTAATTAATCCCCAGCCTGACCAGAGTGCACCTTTGCCAACATTATTGAACACACCATAGAAAGAATTTAAAAAGTACCATTGCAACCATTTGTCCAAATATAGGCCCAATTTGGAAGAGCAGTGTGTATGTGTTTGCTGTCAACCAGCTAATACCAGAAGAATATTTCAACTTGGTACTTGCCCTGTAGTTTCAACAGTACATCGCTTCAAGGTTACCTGTTTTTATTTGAGTTGTCATCTGAATGTTTTGAGATTCAATTGATTGTGTCTGTTTATGTACCTCCAAGCTTTTTTGAAGGGACTTTTCCCCATAGATCTGAAAGCAATTGATTTTGTACAGTCCGAGGAGAGCACTGGAGATGCAGGCCGTGGGCGTGGCAGAGGCCGAGGGCGTGGAGGTAGAGGCAGAGGGCGTGGCTACCATAACAACCATAACAACAATCAATACCACCATAACAACCATCCGCAGCAGCAGCACCACCACCAAAACAGCAACAATCAAGGTAACAACAACCGGAGTGGCGCCCATCCTGTCGGAACCCCGCCTTCCAGCCACCCAGTGAAGGCCGAGCAACAGCAGACACAGTCATCGCCTCCCGCAGGAGCGAACAAACAGCTTCCAGGGCCGCGTATGCCAGACGGCACCCGTGGGTTCTCAATGGGCAGAGGAATGCCGCAAACATCGTCGCCCAGCATATCGACTAGTGAACCTTGAACTTGATTCGTGCCACAGGAGAGACGAGACACAGCTTGTGCTGCTGATTGCCATGTTGATAGAGAGATTGCGAGAGACTGTATTTTAGAAGTCTTGTCTTTTGGAGTGTGCTTTCTGATTTACAGACCATAATATGGTTTTGCGCGTGCTGTGTGTACTTTAAAACCGGTAGCGCAGTGGTTTCGGAGTGATTATGGCCACCATTTTGTAACTCCTATTTTTTTGCTCCTTTTTGCCTCTTTGACTGTAAGATTGTAGCAGTAAAAGCTCTTTTGGGCACAGAAAAGGTAAAGAAAATAAAAGGAACATGATAAAAGATGCTGATGTTTTATGTAGTGCGCTTTTATACTCCGTCGCTCAGCTGAGTGAGATTCATGGGGTCCAAGTAAACCATAAAATGACGCCTGATTTATGTATGTCCTGTTGAAGATTGGCAAGTTTCTATTCTAATGTCAAGCTCATGATGGCGAATTGGCAATAACAAGCCTGCATAAAGTTTTCATTCGTTATGATAGAAAAAGGGATGAGAAACACACGATTTTTCTTTGGGGAGACACTATTCATCAGTTTGATTCAGTAGTGTAGCAAAGAGAGGAGATATAAAATATTTCCTTGATCACAATTCTAACAAATAATTGTACAATCCATTTGGAACTTCTACTTAAGGGCTTCACTAGCGTGCGACGAGCTAGCATGGAGCGGTCATGTGACTGAAAATCCAATTTGGGAAAGTCGGATTCGCTATGAGCCATTGGGTGGCGATTAAGCTTCTTCAACCTCTGAAACGGTCATTGTTCACCTTCTTTAACCTCGAACCTCCAGATCTACCATCAGACTAACTGTGTGCTGCCGACGCTTGTGGCGGCGGCGCTCCCGCTCCAGCCTCGCCCTCCCCCAACCACCGCCCACGGCTGTGCCCCCATCGCCTCAGACCATCTCTCTAACTCAGCCATGAACCATTTTTTCCGACGAACCTGCACCCCACCGCCAACACCCCTAAGATAGATAATAGGGTCGCTTGCTGGACGGGTGTTCCTGGCGACTGTTCACCAGGTAACGTTATCGTTTTACTTTCGATAGGATTAGAAGCGGTGCATTTTTACCTTTTCATGAGCAACTTAATTTTCTATTGCATGCAACGATGCACATAAACATATAAACGGTCATGTAATTAATACGGATATGAATACATTTTTCTATTGCATGTAATTAATACGGATATCAATAAAGTTTAGATGGTCTACGAATATGAATGTATTTTTATTATTTCTGTGTTCTTTTACTGCCATGGCATTATGAATAAATATATAAGAAATTTTCTCGCCCAAAATATGACTTGCTTCATGGTACTTGTGTGAGTTGATACCTCGCCATTATGAAATTAAATGTAATTAATACAATGAATGTTATTTGCAAGATTAATCGTAATTAAAGTTATTTTCAAATTGTTGGTGATGCGGTGAATGGAGTACATCATTGATACTCTCTTTGGTCCTTTTTACACTACATATGAAATTTGTCTGAAGTCAAACTTCATATAGGTTGACCAATTTTATGGAGAAAAACATCAACATTCTGAAGGAAATATGCCCTAGAGGCAATAATAAAGTTGTTATTTATATTTCTTTATATCATGATAAATGTTTATTATTCATGCTAGAATTGTATTAACCGGAAACTTAGTACATGTGTGAATATATAGACAAGCATAGTGTCCTTAGTATGCCTCTACTAGACTAGCTCGTTAATCAAAGATGGTTAAGTTTCCTAGCCATAGACATGTGTTGTCATTTGATGAACGGGATCACATCATTAGAGAATGATGTGATGGACAAGACCCATCCGTTAGCTTAGCACTATGATCGTTTAGTTTATTGCTATTGCTTTCTTCATGACTTATACATGTTCCTATGACTATGAGATTATGCAACTCCCGAATACTGCAGGAACACTTCGTGTGCTATCAAACGTCACAACGTAACTGGGTGATTATGAAGATGCTCTACAGGTGTTTCCGATGGTGTTTGTTGAGTTGGCATAGATCGAGATTAGGATTTGTCACTCTGATTGTTGGAGAAGTATCTCTGGGCCCTCTTGGTAATGTACATCACTATAAGTCTTGCAAGCAATGTGACTAATGAGTTAGTTGCGGGATGATGCATTACGGAACGAGTAAAGAGATTTGCCAGTAACGAGATTGAACTAGGTATAATGATACCGACAATCGAATCTCGGGCAAGTAACATACCGATGATAAAGGGAACAACGTATGTTCTTGTGCGGTTTGACCGATAAAGATCTTCGTAGAATATGTAGGAGCCAATATGAGCATCCAGGTTCCGCTATTGTTTATTGACCGGAGATGTGTCCCGGTCATGTCTACATAGTTCTCAAACCCGTAGGGTCCGCACGCTTAACGTTTGATGACGATTCATATTATGAGTTTATGTGATTTGATGTACTGAAGGTTGTTCGGAGTCCCAGATGAGATCGCGAACATGACGAGGAGTCTCGAAATGGTCGAGACATAAAGATTCATATATTGGAAGGCTACATTCGGACACCGGAATGGTTCGGGTCGTTTCGGATAAGTTTCGGAGTACCGGGGGTTACCGGAACCCCACCCCTCCCGGGAAGTTATTGGGCCTCGTGGGCCTAGTGGTGGAAGAGAGTAGGCAGGCCAAGGTATGGCGCGCGCCCCTAGCCCAAACCGAATTGGATAAGGGCTAGGGGGGCTGGCCCCCTTTCCTTCTCTTCTTCCTCTCCTTCCTTCTTCTCCTACTTGGACTAGGAAAGGGGGAAACCTACTCCTACTAGGAGTAGGAATCCCCCTTTGGGTGCGTCCCTTGTGGCCGGCCCTCCTCCTCCCCTGATTTATATACGGGGGAGGGGGCACCCCATAGACACAAGTTGATCTTTAGCCGTGTGCGGTGCCCTCCTCCACAGTTTTACACCTCACTCATATTGTCGTAGTGCTTAGGCGAAGCCCTGCGTCGGTAACTTCATCATCACTGTCAACACACCGTCCTGCTGATGGAACTCACCCTCGGCCTCAGCTGGATCAAGAGTACGAGGGACGTCACCGAGCTGAACGTGTGCAGATCGCGAAGGTGCCGTGCATTCGGTACTTGATTGGTTGGACCGCGAAGACGTTCGACTACATCAACCGCGTTACTAAACGCTTCCGTTTTAGGTCTACGAGGGTACGTGGACACACTTTCCCCACTCGTTTCTATGCTTCTCCTAGATAGATCTTGCGTGATCGTAGGATTTTTTTTGAAATACTACGTTCCTCAACAGTGGCATCCGAGCCAGGTCTATGCGTAGATGTTATATTCACGAGTAGAACACAAAGAGTTATGGGCAATAATAGTCATACTGCTTACCAGCATGTCATACTTTGATTCGACGGTATTGTTGGATGAAGCGGCCCAGTCCGACATTACATGACCGCTTTCATGAGACTGGTTCTACCCCCGTGCTTCACACACAGGTGGCTAGTGGGTGTCTGTTTCTCCAGTTTTAGTTGAATCGAGTTTGACTACGCTCGGTCCTTGTTGAAGGTTAAAACAACATACTTGACGAAAAATCGTTGTGGTTTTGATGCGTAGGTAAGAACGGTTCTTGCTAGAAGCCCATAGCAACCACGTAAAACTTGCAACAACAAAGTAGAGGACGTCTAACTTGTTTTTGCAGGGCTTGCTGTGATGTGATATGGTCAAGACGTGATGATATATAATTTGTTGTATGCGATGATCATGTTTTGTAATAGTTATCGGCAACTGGCAGGAGCCATATGGTTGTCGCTTTATTGTATGAAATGCAATCGCCATGTAATTGCTTTACTTTATCACTGAGTGGTAGTGATAGTCGTAGAAGCAATAGTTGCCGAGACGACAACGATGTTTCGATGGAGATCAAGGTGTCAAGCTGGTGACAATGCTGATCATGACGGTGCTTTGGAGATGGAGATCGAAGGCACCAGATGATGATGGCCATATCATATCACTTATATTGATTGCATGTGATGTTTATCCTTTATGCATCTTATTTTGCTTAGTACAACGGTAGCATTATAATATGTTCTCTCACTAAATTTCAAGGTATAAGTGTTCACCCTAAGTATGCACCTGTAACATCTCAAATTTTCAATTTGGAATGTTATATATAGATCATTCATGCATATCATATTTTTCTGCATTTTTGCTTTGTGATCCTCGAAATTCTAAGCAACTCAAGGACCCACGGAGAGAGTTGGGGGTTTCATGTTTTTCATATTTTAATTTTATCAAATATCAAAACAAGGATCATTTTGATTTTAATTATTTTCCCCTCCGAAAATATTTCTAATTAAAATATATAAGAGGAGATAATATGACTTCCCCAAAATAAATGAAATATCAGAGGAAAACATATTAAAATCAAATAAGTAATTTTATTTGGGTTTTTGTTGCTATTTTATTTGAATTAGAAAAAATATGCGTTTTTCAAAATTGCATTAGAGGCCCAAATAAATGTTCACTTTGTCCGCAATATTATTAAAGGACCGTGAAAATTTATTTCAGGATTTTTGGACTCCGTTTAGTATTTCTTTTATTTGTTTTTCCGAGTCAGGATTTATTTAAAAAAAGTCACCGACCTAACAGGCCGTGTCCATCCAGGATACTTCGCCCGAAGGCCTTTAAAGCCCGCCCGAGCCAGCCGCCCCGAGGCCCAAGTCGCGCAGCGTCGCGCCCGCCTAACCCTAGCGCCACCGCCTCGATCCCAGCGCCAGCCACCGCCGCGAGCCTTCGCCGCCTCGCGCCGTCGCCGTCCGCCGTCGCCGCCCCGCCGCCGCCGACCCCTCCGCCGTCCGGTTTTTCTCGGGAAAAACCGACGTTTTTTTCGAAACCCTAGATCTCGGTTTTTATTTAGATCAGTTTTGTTGGTTTTTCCTCGGTTTAGTTAAATAACGGACGTTCATTTTAACGAACGCTGTTCGTCAGTTAGCCGCAAACAAT